TCAGCTGGGTTGTGGGGAAATTGGAAAATAAAGGGGGTGTTGACATGTATGAGTGTTGCTACATGTTTGTTTGTTTTTTGACAGACGGGTGAATTGCCCAGACACAGAGGTCTACCCGCTCGAGAGTCCAAATTGATTAAGTCGCTGGAGGGGATGGCTCAAATTGCTAAAGAACAGCAAGTAGATGATTGACACAGTTTACTGAGCCCGCTCCTCTGTATCCAGAGGATGATTGGGGTTATCAGTGCACTTTGGAATTGACTAGAGAGGCTGTGGACACAGGTAACTGCACCACCTTATCAAGGTTATATCCGCGAATTGACAAGCGTACGCAAACACGTCGATCCACGCCTAAACAAAATATTTACACATGTCTTGAATTTGCGACGGACGTGGTGAAAAACACTTTAACAATGTATGTACATCCAGGTGTGAACACGGCGCTGGAGGATTGGATGACGTCTGTGTTTGGGCAATGGAAGGGTGTGTTTATGTCTGCCATGTTTTCTCTTTTGGTTTTTCTAGGTTTGTTGCTGATCAGGTGTTGTCTCATTCCTCTGGTAAGGCAAGTGTTGGGTAATCTGGTGAGCAGGGTCATAGCTTCTGGTTCAGCGGGGTCAGCTGGTCCGGAACATATGATGCCTTTGCGAGAGGCCGCCTGGCGGAGGAGTGACACAATATCTGGGTAAAAGTTGGCCTTTTTTCTGAAGGCCAAAGAGGAGTGTGGAAAAGAGATATTTTATTTTGTATTTTTATGGTGACATTTTATAATCAGACCTATTATGGATTAATCATTTGTCATTGTTGAATCTGATGACAGTATAATCTTTGCTTTATATCTATGGTAATCTGAGTAAAGATTAGATATTATCATCACTGTAATCAAGTCTCAAATGGTATCCACAGCATTGTATTCACCGTCCAAACTGGAGGGTCCAGCAGGACCTTGTTCTAATTCATTTGCAGGCCTACATCAGAACATGCACATACAGAGTTATGTAAAC